GAGAGAGAATGAGAGAGAGCACATGAGAGGGGGGAGAGTCAGAGGGAGAAGCAGACTCCCTGCCGAGCAGGGAGCCCGATGCGGGACTCCATCCAGGGACTCCAGGATCATGACCTGAGCCGAAGGCAGTCGCTTAACCAACTGAGCCACCCAGGCACCCAAATGTCATTTATTCTTAAAATAAAATGAATTAAGCTATCTTTGTATATAAGTTATCTTTTCTGACACAGAATAACAAGGTTTTTCTGTAAGGAAATTAAGGTTTTTTTCAACGAAGGCTTAACTTTCTTTTAATGAAGATTTTAGTCTATTTAAAATGATGGCAGGATGGGGTGCCTGGGTGGCTCACTTGGTTAAGCCTCTGACTCTTGATTTCAGCTCAGGTCATGATATCAGGGTCCTGAGATCGAACCCAATGTTGGCTCCACGCTGGGCATGGAGTCTGCTTGAGTCTCTCTCTCTCCTTCTGCCTCTGCCCCTACCCTATCCCTTCTCAAAAAAAAAAAAAAAACAAACAAACCTTAAAATGATGGCAGGGTTGGAAATTTTATTTTGATTTTCTTTAAGGAGTATAGTATCCATTATATGTTACCTTTTCAGTGATGACACGCATTTAGCACGAGGTAGAGGGTTTCACAAAAATCTCTGGGAGGGGCGATTTGAGGAAAGTCAACTGTATTATGTTTCCTGAAGGGTAGAATTTTCTTGTTTACTAATTTTATTCAAACTCAGTGCTTGCACCCTATGAAATAAACATTGAAGGAATTAAAAACCAACAAAGAAAGAAATTATGAAATCTATTTTTAAAGGAGTTTAAATAAGAAGTGGTTTGTATCAGTATCCAATTACATCTATGATTTACATTTTTAACTTCCTCAAGTTACTTATTTATGATTATGCTTCTTTAAAGTAATGAAGTTGGAAAAAAAGTAATGAAGTTGGAATGTGTTAATAAAGAAAACTCTGAGATAGGGAAACTATATTTTTGAATAATCTAAGTAAACTTTCGTGTATAGAGTCTCAATCTGAGTGAGATGTTCTATAACCAGCTCCACCCATTCTCAAGCAGCTGTATCCCCACCTGTGATGATGGCTGTTCATAATTCACTAAAATCTTTCACTATTGAAACTTCAAAACAAAGGATACCTATAATCAATGGATAATAATTAAACAGAAAACACCTGTATTGGCACCATGGTTCTATAAGCTATACCTTGATATGTGAGATTTCTAATTTATAGGTTTTGAACTTTTTTCCCTTTGATGCACATGTGGATATCTCTATACTCATTGTAGGTGATTAATAGGTGTTTAGTTGATCAAAAGATCAATAGTTGATTAGGTAAATATATGTACCAGATAACAGGATTATTGTTTAACTAGTTCAATTAAAAAAAAAAAAACTTTTGTTTTTATTTGGTTTTTAATATGCTTTACAAAAATTTATAATTTTCTTCCCTGTCTTAAAATATTTAGTCAGAGAATACAATTTATTATTACAGGTTTTAAAATTTCCTATTTACTTATCGTTTTAAATTTATGACCGTTGTGTGAGAAAACAGTACCAGCCTCAGGATTTTCCTCAGAAGCATCTTTGTGAAATTCTTTGATCCCACTTTGAATGTTTGGAATCTTTCTCCTCACTGTAGAATACTGCACACATTTAGGTCCATACTTACCACCTTTAAGTAGGAGGGAATTTCCTAACCAAGATTTTATGTAGCAGATGTCTGAGTCCTTTGATCATGCTAGTTGATTGTGACAGGCTAGCTCTCAAACTTTCTCTCTCCTTACAAGTAAGTGGTGAAAATTCCATACCATAATTCAGGAATCATTCATCCCAACGATTCCATTGTCAATTATGATATGTTTATCCTCATTGGCATCCCTGGCCTGAAGGAGCTGCACATGTGGATCTCCATCTCCTTCTGCCTGATGTACCTGGGGGTTGTGTCAAGAAATGTTATCCTGATCCTCGTGGTGGCAGTCGAATGCAGTCTTCATGAACCCATGTACCTCTTCCTCTCCATGTTGGCTTTTTGGGATCTGATGCTATCCACATCCACAGTACCCAAAGCCCTGAGCATCTTCTGGTTTGATGATGTGGACATCTCTTTTGGTGGTTGTGTAACCTATCTCTTCTTTACGCATTTTGCCTTTGTAGTGGAGTCAGGCATTCTCTTGGCCATGACTTTTGATCGTTATGTGGCCATCTGCTACCCACTGATGTATACCACCATTCTTAGCCATGGTGTCATCAGCAAAATAGGGGGTGCTGTAGTGCTCAGGAGTTTTGCAACTGTTTTCCCCATTATCTTCCTAGTGAAGCATCTGCCTTCTGCTGGACAAACATCATTGCCCACACATTTTGTGAACACTTGGGGCTGGCAAAGCTGGCTTGTGCTGATATCACCATCAACATTTGGTATGGAATCTCTGTGCCATTACTCAGTGTTGTGCTAGATATGGTGACAATAGTCATCTCCTATGGGCTTATTCTCCGGGCAGTCTTCAGGTTGCCATCCCACGATGCGTGAATGAAATCCCTTAGCACGTGTGGTTCCCATATCTGTGTCATCCTCATGTTCTACCTTCCAGGGATTTTTACTGTCATTGCTCA